CATCAACCCCCCAAAACACACACACACACACACAGAAAGGCTCACAAAAACAATAGTATGAAAAAGGGGCAGGCAAAAGGTGATAAGAGAATTAGAATGTTTGGTTTGAGGAAAAAATGAAATATTAAGTAGACCATTTACTCAAAAAATTTCAAAAGAAACACAAAAGGTTATTAAGATTCCCCAGGAATAGCTAGAAATCAAGGTCACATAAAAAAGGCTAGAAGTCCCACATAAATAAATTTCAGGTAAAGGAAAGTCGACATAATCCAATATCATACCAAGAATCTTCCCCGTAAACAAACAAAAAATTCATAAAAACCCAAAATCTCCCAAGAAACCCACAATCGAAGAGAGCACGCAAACCGCATAACCATAGGGTAATCAAACACCAAAACAATACATGTATACAAATATACCCACAGATAAGAGAAAATCCATCAAGATCACATCTAGCAAATCTAAAGAAACCCCACAAATAAAATGACATATACCCTTTAGGATAGACATTCCCAGTGACAGGGAAGATCACAGAGGATCCAAATCGATCCTCGATGGCCGTTGATTTGGATTGCTTCTTGATCCTCTGAGGCGGATTGGAAGCAGAAGAACAGCTTTGTAGCGATCAGAGGCAAAAAGGGGTCAAAAAAGGCAAAGGTAGACGTCTACAAGTCCACTGGATTGTCTGAATAATTTTCTGTGGTGGTGGTGGTTGTTCTGGCACTGGTTGTAGTGGCTATGGATTTGGAATGAGAGAGTTGAAAGTATAAGAGAGAGATGAAAAAAAAAAAGTAAGATGTCAGACAGAGGAATGATGGGTGAGGGAGGGTGGGATGGATTGGGGGGAAATTCAAACTCATATGTTTTAACTTTCAGACGGTTGGATGTTAAAGCTGTCATGTTTTATATTATAGATTATAGATTCTACAGCAATGCAATCAAGAGAACTGATTAAAGAAAAATGTATGATGCAATACCAGAAAGCCTGAAAATTGATAAATTAAATTATAGGAGACAAAAGACCAAAAAACTATCGAAGGCAAAAAGAAATCTCTGTCTTTCTATATGGCAAAAAAAATATGTTCCGATTCTTTGCATAACCATATCAAAAAAAAATGTATGAAACGAAGACCATGATTACAACAGAATCATATTTAAGTTTAACAGAATTTGGTACCAAGTAAACAATTGAAATTTCATACACACCAACCACTATAGCTGCAACAATCTTTAACTGGGGAGGATTAACACCCTATTTCAAAACCATAAATTAACACCCAATTCAAAACGCTAGAGTAACATATTGGGTGTGCCATGATGTGTGTGTATGTGAAAGTGATTGGGTGCTCTAGCTGGGTGGGGGTGTGTTTGTGTTTGTTCGACTGTGTGTGTGACTGTGTGTGCGTGCGTGCGTAGAGAGGGAGGTGAGAAAGAGAGAGGGAGGGAGAGGGAGAGGGAGAAGAGCTTACCTGGGTCGGTGGGGGTGGCCGATGAAGGGTGAGAGGGAATAGAGAGCTCGCAAAAACGAAGAAGAGAGACGTCGATGGTGGTGGTGTTGCTGACGAAGTGGCGCTGCTACTGCTGGTGTTACTGGGGTGTAACACAGAGAGAGAGAGAGGATTGCAGAGGAAGCAAAGGCAGAGGCAGACATGGCGTGAGAGAGGTCTGAAAAAGAAAAAAAAGAGACGTAGGGGGGCAGGCCGCATCTCTGACAGAGTGACTGAGGGTAACCTGCTTTTGAAAAAAAATGAGTAAAAAGAGTTGAATTCGGAGGGAAATGAAAGATTATTAATGACCGTCGGATGAAATGAATTGTGATCGTTCGATTGACTTGTTGAAGCCCGCTATGTTTTATATTATAGATAGTCAACTTGAAAACTCATCCGCTTATCAATTCTTGCTGTAATACTCACTCCTCATCCATATAAGAATAAGGAATTCCTCTTCCAACTCATCCTAGAATGGGCGTAATGGCAAAGAGCAAGAGGAATACAAAAGGAAAAATTTGTCCATTTAATAACAAATGGTAGGACCGAGTCCCACACAAGTGGTTGGAACCTTCCATAAGAGACTGAAATGTTGATGGTTAGAATTTCCTTCTCCTTTTCTCTCCCTTTTCTCTTTAGTGTAAAAATATCGTTGCCTATCAAAAAAAAACAAATGATTCAACCTAGTAGTAAGCAATCCGCTAAAAAACAACAAAAATTTTCAAGAAATTGTAATAGAGTCTCAATCAAATCACTACATCTAGATTCGCTAATTTGTTTCGATTGATGGTGTCACGTGTCTAACACGCCACTTTGGCCAGAGTGGAATATTTGTCTAACATTTTTTTTTTTTTCGCTTTATCTGAAAATATTGAGACAGATAGATGAAAAGACTAACATATTTTAGAGAAACAGTTTGACAGTTTTTTTTACTAGGCAAATATTCTCTTATAGCCAAGTCACGTGAGACTGTCTTGTTAAAACAAATTAATAGATCTGGATGCTATTTTTGGACCCAATTGAAGCTATGTGCATAGTTTTTTAGGATGTAAATGGCAAAAACTCCCTTAATTTTAGCTGTCAAATTCAAGGCCCTCTTATTTTGGGTGAATTCTATTGTACCCCAGAGGGTTTGGCCCTATTGTACATTACCCTCATTGTCTATCTCTTCCCTATTCTTATTGTTTTGTTTCTCCAACTTTTTCTTTATCCGCCATCCACAGTTTAACCAGCAGCAGCAGCAGCAGCAGCAGCATCCATTGCTGGCACTACCACAACAGGCACACACAGTGGCAAAAATGAATTTATGTATAGAAATTTCAAGTTATAAAATTAATATCTCCAACAAAAAGAGGCCTAACCAAAGGTTGTGGTAGACTTATATTTGGATGGATTAGGCCGAGTGAGAATGCCAATGTGAATATTAAATATTTACGGGGAAAAAAATATTCAACGTGTGAATGTTGTTTTCTTTTCTTTTTGCACAATTGCTTCTCAAAACACTCTATTTGGAAAGGGCATTTAGTAAGATTAGAGATTAATATATCTAAACAATTGTTCAATGCGATAATTGTGTACGCTTCAAATTTATGCACAATTACGGGTCTAAACAATGCTAAATTGGAAAGATTCTTAGTTAAAGAAAAAGTCGAACAAACTAGATCATATGTCAAAAACCATCCCTACACAAAAGTAGTAGGAAAGTGGGTACCCTACAAAAGAATGAGTGATCTCCAGTAAAGAGATTGGATATTCTTCCTTCAATCTAATTTCTTAACTCAGTTCACAGTTTCTGTTGGATTAACAAGTCTTATGTCTATATTAATAGCGTCTATTACTAATAGCGGGAATCACAGTGAAGCTATTAATTAAAACAATGACTTCAGACTTCACCCATAATTTTTTTTTTTTTTTTTAAATTTCATAAGTCTATAGTATTGTCCAGACCAAGAATTCAAAACCATAAAATTAAACCTAGCAAAAAAAGTCCCAAGAATGTTTAAACCAACAAAAAAATATTAGTTAATGATATGGCCCCAAAATTCAACCTATAAGCTCACCAATCAAATTTGGTCAAGGGAACAAAAAAAAAGGCTTAGACAATAAAAAAGGTGTTGAATTGATCAGATGCAAATCTCTCTTTCCCCCATATCTGATGAAAAAGTGGAGAATAATGTTACATAGACTTAAAAAATAGACTTAAAAATTAGACTTGATAATCTCAACCATTGATTTCACTATGAATCGCAGCATTTATTGGAACCCACTATCTATTTAATAATTGAGATTATTAAGTCTAATTTTTAAATTCATCTATCATTACTCAAAAGTGGAATAAACATCAATAGCTACTCTCTCTCTCTCCCCGGTTCAAAAGTGCAATTCAAACGCACCCTGACTTCCTTTTAACCATTTTGTTCTCGTCTAAAAATAAAACATCAATGAAACTATTGATTCTNTCCCACATATCTGATGAAAAAGTGGAGAATAATGTTACATGGACTTAAAAAATAGATTTAAAAATTAGACTTGATAATCTTAACCATTGATTTCACCATGGATCACAGCATTTATTGGGACTCACTATCTATTTAATGATTGAGATTATTAAGTCTAGTTTTTAAATCCATCTATCATTACTCAAAAGTGGAATAAACATCAATAGCTTCTCTCTCTCTCTCTCCCCGGTTCAAAAGTGCAATTCAAACGCACCCTGACTTTCTTTTAACCATTTTGTTCTCGTCTAAAAATAAAACATCAATGAAACTATTGATTCTCTTGTCAAATTTGATGAATTTGAGTTAAAATTCAAGCAGTTACCAGCAAGATTGGAAAGTAAACCAAGGTCTATTAAGTCGAGCGCTATCACTCTCTTTATCAACATAGTTCAGCCACTTCATCCCCATGCTCTCACTCTCTCTTTCTCTTTCGAAAAACAAAATTTTTTAGTTTGTGGCTCTAAAAAAGTTGGTCACCATAGCAAAATTGTTTTAACTTTAGCTCAAGTTCTCTCTCTTCTCTGATAAGTATCTCTTTTTTAATTTTAACTTTTAGCTTTAAGTATCTCTCTCTTTTAACTTTAGCTCAAGTTCTCTCTCTCTCTCACATACACGTGGGTGTCTTTGAACTTGTTCACACATGCACGGGGCCCATCGAAGGCAAGGAATAATATGAACTACCCTTTTATAAGCACACCCTCATCTCTTCCATTNCCGCCCCCACATTCTCTCTCTCACGCAGAATACTCAAGCGTGGGTGTCTTTGAACTTGTTCACACATGCACGGGGCCCATCGAAGGCAAGGAATAATATGAACTACCCTTTTATAAGCACACCCTCATCTCTTCCATTTGAGAAACACAACACTCAGAGAGAGAGAGAGAGGGAGAGATGGCAGATAAGGTTTTGAACACAGAGAAGAGTGCTGTCAAAGACAAGGCCAAATCGGAGATGATGGAGAGCATGGAAGTGAACCCACAAGAAAAAGAAGAGGTTGAAGCCANCCAAATCGGAGATGATGGAGAGCATGGAAGTGAACCCACAAGAAAAAGAAGAGGTTGAAGCCAACACCTGGCCTGGTCTTAAACCCAAGCCTTGGAGCGTAATTCCGGCGAAGAAAAAACTGGTGAAGACGATGATGGTCGAATACATAGGCCAATCTGTAGTATCCGCATTCAAAAACAGCAAGAACAAGCAGAAAATCACTCCTGGTAATGCTGGGTCTACCAATATGTAGTACTTTGATAACCTACACTATGCACACACACACACACTCACTCTCTCACAAATGATAAGTGATGGGTGCGTATTGAACTATATATACTTACATGTAACCTATGGATGATAAATGAAGTTTCCTTATGTTTTTGTGTATACTGTATGTGTATGGAGAGCACCTATACATGAATTAGTTCCATGAAAGCACCCCTCTCTAGCTACCAACATGAAGCTCTTTGCCCATGTATAAATTAAGATTGTTTTGACATAAAAAAAACAACAGTAATTTAATTCATATTGGTATAATATGACCATTTTAATCAGCTCTTAAAAAGGAACTTTTACAGTACCTAATCCTTCTCTGGAAATGAATGTTTCAGAGCGGAGCCTGGAATTTTTTGCTGTGGAGGCAAATTAAAATTTAGTAAGAACATAAAACGGTAATATTAATAGTATTTGGTCTAATATTAATTTTTTATGAACAAATTTATCCACTACTCATTCAATAATTGATTTGTTTAGCTCGATTCAAACTCAATATTTCAACAATTATTTTTTAACAAACTTCAGATTCCAAAAAAAAAGTTTTTAACGATAAAAAATTTATAAAGACCATAAATATTCAAAATAATTATGACAAATTTTAATAAAAAAAAAATTGAATCTTTCACACGCCTATTTGTGTTGAGAATCTATCACAACCTATGGGTGGTTGGTTTGATTGTGATAAAAAAAAAAGAAAAGAAAAGAAAAGGCTTTTAGTGTAGGGGAAAAATAATAAAAAGGTTGAATTAGTGTTAAGACACCTAACATGATTAATTACATGGGTTATTTTAGAATTGATTAATATTTGACATGAACTCAAAGTTCCACCACATAACTCGGATACCACCTCTAGTTGCAAAAGAAAGAGGAAATTGGAGATTAAAGAAAGAATTGTATGAAAAGTTCCCGTCTAATTGTTAAATTTATAATAGAGTACAAGTTATCTTTCAACATGGAAACCTACAATAATTTTTTTACAAACTTTTTAATAGGGGCAAATTCTAAATGATGCTAAAATTTTCAAAATTTCAATTAGACCTCAAGATTTTTTAAAATTGCAATGGGGGCAGTTTCCCCCACTGCTCCATGCTAGATTCGCAACTGCCCCGGTGCTATATTCGCCCTTGGTTTCAAAAATGATGCTGCACAAAAAAGAGAGTTCAATCCGTTGAAGGTCCTAAATTAGTGAAGTACCACAAAGGTTCCAAGCTTAGAATCTGCCGCAAGGCATCTTTTGAGTCGATACCAATTCATAATACATATAAATTCAAAGTCTTGCACGATTCGACCGAGTCATAGTACACATCTCTCAATCCATTTTTGTCAAACTTGAGTCATCGAGTTATAATCATTGAATCGACAGATACCATCTTATGATGCTTCAAAATGACTTAAATTTCTTATCATGTTTTATTTTTTTTTGTTAGGTCGTGTCACAAGATATAGTTCCGAGGCGTCGGGATTAATGTGTTTTAGAACTCTTTGAATCGGCTATTTGGTAACGTTTAAACATCAATAACTTGTGACAGATTGGAGTGAATTATGAATCTATAATATACAANGTCAGTGATATGGCTTCAAGTGATGCAACAACAAGTGATGGTTTCCTCTCTTTAGTACCCGAAAGCCCCTCTCTTGAGAATATCACTGAGGTAAGTTTCCCTATCATATCCTCTTTTACTGAAAACGTGAATAGTACTGTGCAATATGTGTTGCCTTTCAGACATAACCGTGGCAAACCACCAAGCCGATACTCTCCGGAAGTGGAAGATAGAAGATCCAAATATCCTATTGTCAACTATGTGTCCACTCACAAGATATCCGAACCACTCAAGGCCTTTGCACATAAACTATCCTCAGATTACATTCCTCAAAATGTCGAAGAGGCATTACTTGATCCATAATGGAGTCAAGCTATAAAAGAAGAACTGAAGGCTTTGCAAAAAAATGAGACTTGGAGGCTGATCTCACTACCTGAAGGAAAGCAATCAGTAGGGTGCAAATGGTTCTTCTCCAGTAAAAATAATGCTAATGGATCCATTGATAGGTACAAAACAAGACTCGTGGCAAAGGGGTACACACAGACGTAAGGAATAGATTACGAAGAAACGTTCTCACCGGTAGCAAAACTAAACACTGTTAGAGTTTTGTTATCCCTTGTAGCAAATTTAGATTGGCCATTACACCAATTTGATGTGAAGAACGCTTTTCTCCATGAGAATTTAGAAGAAATCTTCATGGATCTTCCACCTAGGTACTCGGCAACTCCAGAAGATAAAGTAGTATGCAAGCTACAATAGGCCTTGTATGGGTTAAAACAATCACCACGTGCATGGTTCGGTCGATTCACTGTAGCTATGAAGAAATGTGGCTTTCAGCAGAGTAACTCAGACCATACCCTTTACCTAAAGCACCAATCAGGAAAAGTGACAGCGCTAATTATTTATGTAGACGACATGATCGTTACGGGTGATGACAAAGAAGAAATCTCCAAGTTTCAAGAGCAATTGTCAGCTGAGTTTGAGATGAAGAACCTAGGGGGATTCAAGTACTTCCTGGGAATCAAAGTATCCATATCAAAGCAAGGCATATCTTTATCTCAAAGAAAATATGTCTTAGACTTGTTAGCTGAAGTGGGGTTGCTAGAATGTAAACCAGCCGATACTCCCATTGTCCAAAATCATCAACTTGGGATATATGCCGATCAAGTGACCACGGACAAAGAGAGATACCAAAGGATTGTTGGTAAGCTTATTTACTTGTCACATACTCGACCATAAGTGTAGTGAGTCAATTCATGCACTACCCTAGTGAAGCCCATATGAATGCAGTAACTAGAATTCTTCGGTATTTAAAGTTCTCAAATGGGAAAGGACTAATGTATTCTGAAAATGATCATTTGAACATTGATGGATACACCGACGCAGATTGGGCAAGAAATATTTCAGATAGGAAGTCAACTTCAANTGAACATTGATGGATACACCGACGCAGATTGGGCAAGAAATATTTCAGATAGGAAGTCAACTTCAAGCTACTTCACCTTCGTAGGAGGTAATCTCGTCACTTGGAGGAGCAAGAAACAAAAAGTTGTTGCACTATCCAATGCTGAAGCAGAATTTCGAGGTATGGCCAAAAGTGTGTGTGAACTTCTTTGGCTGAGAAGGCTGTTAACGAAAATAGGCTTTGCTCTCAGCTCAGAAATGAACCTGTTTTGCGACAATAAGGCAACCATTGGCATCTCTTNTAGGAGGTAATCTCGTCACTTGGAGGAGCAAGAAACAAAAAGTTGTTGCACTATCCATTGCTGAAGCAGAATTTCGAGGTATGGCCAAAAGTGTGTGTGAACTTCTTTGGCTGAGAAGGCTGTTAACGGAAATAGGCTTTGCTCTCAGCTCAGAAATGAACCTGTTTTGCGACAATAAGGCAACCATTGGCATCTCTTATAATGCTATTCAACATGATCGGACTAAGCATGTTGAGGTCGATCGACACTTCATTAAACAAAATCTTGAAGAAAAAATCATTTGGTTCCCATTTGTCAAGTCATAAGACCAGCCTTGCAGATGTACTCATGAAAGCCATATCCAACATAAATTTCTACATCTCACTCGANAAAAATCATTTGGTTCCCATTTGTCAAGTCATAAGACCAGCCTTGCAGATGTACTCACGAAAGCCATATCCAGCATAAATTTCTACATCTCACTCGGCAAGTTGGGCATTAGAGACATCTATGCACCAACTTGAGGGAGAGTGTTGGCGTGAGCTGTGCTCTGTACAAGGATCAAATTAGATTATTTATAGAAAGTGTTTCTTTGTAAAATCCCTTACTTAAAAGGGTCAACCATAATTATAGCCTTAGATCATGTATTTCTTTGAATAGCCTCCCATGTATTTACATATACCTCTGTACTCTGCTATTACAAAATAATAAGAAACAGAAACTTTTGACAGTATACATAATACTTATACATACCTACAATAAAAGACACAAAAATAATCCTCAAGAAATATGTAACTCAAATTGACTAAATTAGTAGATCATAAATATTTGTTAAATCCACATATTCATTCTATTTTAACAATGTAAAATTAGATAAGTATAAATGTATAAGGTCTCCAATTTTTCACCCGTTGATCCTATGCTTAAACTAATCCAAGTAGATCCACATTGATCAACTTTAAAACCAACACATGACATAAGATTTAAATAATCAAGTAGAACCACATTAACAAACTACAAAACCAATATATTTTAATTAGGATTTAAATAGCCTAAAAAATTGTTATAGTATCAAATTTCACTATTTTCAAGCAAATTCACATTAATCTACTTCAAAAGTAATCATTTGACAGTAGAAATCAATATGTATAGACAACACTTGATCAAAGATTTGATTTCAATTTCATTAACAAACCCTAACTAAGCACAACATGAAAATTAAAATTTTCTAGTGTTTTGAAAATTACCTAGCTATTCTCAAAAGAAAAAAAAATACCTAGCACCCGGAGAGTATCGAGTGGACATGGTTGCCACTTGAATTCAACCACCACCTAAATAACAACAAATAAAACATAAACAAAGAAACTATAATTAAGTCAATTTTTCGGGATCAGAAGATCAATAATATACCTAATGTAATCTACTGGAACACAACATCATGTTTTATGAAGACATCAAATTGTTGATACGTATTTAGCCCAAAAAAATGTTGAAAATATGAAATATTCTATGTAACTCGAAGAAGAAAAATATAACTCTCAATTGCTTTTTCGAAGATTTTTAACACATGGGATGAAATTAGCCCCATTGGCTTATTCATTGTCTACTTCTACAGCTCACTCGATTAAAAAATTCAAGCATCAAAAACCAAGAAAGATTAATTTGCGATAACAACAACAATTCTACTTTTAACTGCTAATTGCTCAATTTAATTGAAAAAATAAAAAAAAATGAACCAAAACGAACCATGAAGGTGGAATTCAATAGGAGACAAATTGAATCAAAGCTACTANACAACAACAATTCTACTTTTAACTGCTAATTGCTCAATTTAATTGAAAAAATAAAAAGAAATGAACCAAAACGAACCATGAAGGTGGAATTCAATAGGAGACAAATTGAATCAAAGCTACTACTTTCCTGAATTTTTCTATGAGTTGGAACTAAACAGAAAGTATGATACCCACATTCAAAAAATTCATTTTCTTTCCCAAAAACTCTTATTATCAATCCCTCCATGCAATCCACTACAATCCCTTTGATGACCGTATTAAACTTTACTTTTATAGGAAAACTTATGCAATCAAGTAAAGATAAACATGAAAAGAGAATTAGAAACTAAAATCCNAATCCACTACAATCCCTTTGATGACCGTATTAAACTTTACTTTTATAGGAAAACTTAAGCAATCAAGTAAAGATAAACATGAAAAGAGAATTAGAACTACTTGAAAACATTGTGAAGGAAGTGTTCCCCATGCATCCCCACATTTGATGTCATTTTTCCCTCCATCAAACACCATACAATTCACTCACCTGTTACCCATAACCGAAATTCATCAAACGTCTACAAATAGTTGATGTCCAAAAAACTCGGGCTAACAGTTTCATTTGGCTCTATCAGGCATTTTAACAAATAGTTGATGTCCAGGGTGGGGCAGTGGGNAAATTCATCAAACGTCTACAAATAGTTGATGTCCAAAAAACTCGGGCTAACAGTTTCTTTTGGCTCTATCAGGCATTTTAACAAATAGTTGATGTCCAGGGTGGGGCAGTGGATTATGTGACTTGTGTCTAGTGGTCACGAGGGAGAGGAGGAAAGGAGTGGAGGCAGTGGTATGCTATTTTGGGGTGGTAATGTCTGTGGGATGGTTTCGTGGGCTGTGGGGTGGGTTGATGGGTCTATGGAGGGATATTTGGTGGCGGATTTTTTTTGGGGAGAGGGGGGTAATGCGGTGGTGGTAGAAAGAGAGGGGGGAGAAGAAGAATGGGGAGTCAGATAGAAGAGGAAGAGGAAGAAAGAGATAAATGGGGTCGTTGGGCATCGTCGATCGGCAAGGACACGGTGTTGTAGAGGTGGCGGAGACAAAAGAGATGGAGGAAAACAAAAAGTAAGAGGAGAGGAATTAACATCCAATTTCAAAATCCTAAATTAACACCCAATTCAAAACCCTANAAAGTAAGAGGAGAGGAATTAACATCCAATTTCAAAATCCTAAATTAACACCCAATTCAAAACCCTAGATTAACATATTGGGTGTTCCATAATGTGTGTGTATGTGACTGTGATTGCGTGCTCTGGCTGGTTAGGGGTGTGTTTGTGTTTGTTCGATTGTGTGTGTGTGACTGTGTGTGCATGTGTAGAGAGGGAGGGGAGAGAGAGAGGGAGAGGGAGAATAGCTTAACTGGATCGGTGGGGTGACCGGTGAAGGGTGAGAGGGAATAAGGAGGTTGCAAAGGAGGAGACAGATAGAAAGACGAAGAAGAGAGATGTTCGGCCCTTGGGAGTTATGTCTGACAAATGAGTTGGGCACTATGCAAAAGGTTTGGACGGGATAAGTTTTTTGTGTGAGATACGTTGTCAGCCTTTGGATTAACTTGGAATAACGGAGATGAAATCTAGTCCATACAATTATTGGAACAATGGAGATGAAATCTAGTCCATAAAATTAAAAGTAGATTAAATTTGAGCGGTCTTTGTGCTTTCCCAAATGAATAAAAATTGGATTAATTTTTGAAGTAAAAATGAATTCAAAACTCGTTTCTGTTTTATTATATAGATATAGATACGGGGAGTTTAGTCATTTAGACATATTACGATTACTGACCGAACAACCAACCTCTTTTTTTCCTTATTTTTTCTAAGAGCAAATTACATCAAAATTCTTGAAATTTTTCACTTAATTCTTTAAATCTCTTGTCATTTGAAATATTATACACAAACTTTTTAGGTTTATACGCGCGTAACAATTAGGCATCTACTTTCAACGTTCATTAGTATATCTATTAATAATTACACTCAAGTTGTTTAAAATTTGTAAACATGTAATACTTAAATTTCTCTAGTTTGAAATATTATATTAGACTCCTTATTAGTTTAAAATTAAATTGTCTCAATTAAAGATATAATATATTGTGTTAATTACAATCTTATCATTTGTTTGATTTATAATTTTATTCTAATAGACAGTATAATTGTATATAAATGGGTGTTGAATTGAGTATTAATTATAAGTTTTTTGGCATCAACAATATTAATTATGATTTTTAAAAGAAAAAAAATAGATTTTTATTTTTTATTTTTTATTTTATTTCAATAAATAACATAAAAGAACATAAATCTTGTATCTAAAATTACCAAGTTTAATCTTACTATTCTATTTAGGCGTGTTTAGAATTCCCATTAGTGACTTTGGGTATATGATGATGAAATGANAAATAGATTTTTATTTTTTATTTTTTATTTTATTTCAATAAATAACAGAAAAGAACATAAATCTTGTATCTAAAATTACCAAGTTTAATCTTACTATTCTATTTAGGCGTGTTTAGAATTCCCATTAGTGACTTTGGGTATATGATGATGAAATGACACAGAAATTAGGACCATTTGGAAGCACAATTTTTTTTAGAAATAACTCACTACCTTGACACGCAATTGATATAAAACTGTAATTATAATGTTATTCATTTTGAATATGCGAGTTGACTTATCTAACCCGCTTTAAGCATGATTTCTAGAACGCGACTAAACAAGATTTATAACCGACACAAACTATCATATGTAAACAAGATTTATAATCGACACAAACTATCATATGTACATCGACGNACCTAACCCGCTTTAAGCATGATTTCTAGAACGCGACTAAACAAGATTTATAATCGACACAAACTATCATATGTAAACAAGATTTATAATCGACACAAACTATCATATGTACATCGACGACAACAATAATTAAATTATATGTTAATTAAATAAATTTTGATAAGTGCCAGCTTCATCGCTCTTTTTTTTTTTCCCGATAAGTAACGTCATTCCTCATTCACAAGTAATCGAGTAGTGGCAAAATTGAATAGGGGGAAAATATTCAATAATATCACTACTTTTTTTTTTTTTAATCCAAATAATATCACTACTAAATAATAAGAGTTAACAGCACTGATGTTTCTCGAAGTACGAAATTTGTCTAATTTTAGCATCCAATATTTTAATTGTATTATTTTGGTTATTGAAGTATTAATTATATTTTTGTGGTCCGTCAAATAGATAACATTTAAATTACTAAAAAAAATTTTATCGTAAACTTATCACGTAATATTTAAATATGACCAAAAAAATAATTTAAATAATTTTTGAATAAATTTTTACTCAAATTTTTTGAAATAGTTACCCAAGTTACACAATTTTGATCATGATTTATCTAAATTTCGGTTAAGAGCTACTCATATTACATATTTTTTGTCAAAAATTATACAAATTTTGATCAAGAGTTACCCAAATTATTATTTTTTTCATATTTAGGCATCATGTAATAAATTTATAATTAAAAACTGTTAATAATTTAGATAATATCTGTTTGAGAAACCATATAAAAATATATTCAATATTTCAGAGACTAAAATAATGTAATTGAAATATTGAGGACCAAAATAAGACAAATTTTATTATTTGGAGACCTTCAATACAATTAATTCTAATAAAAAATTATTTTATAAAGCTAATACATTGTCGACTAGTTTTTATTTGATAAATAATATCATGTGAGTATTTAGTCTGATTGGGGTATTGTTTGGTACAAGGACTAAGTCATCTAAGAAGTAGCCGCCTGTCCACGATATCGCAGCTGATGGTGATAGTGAAAGGCAGCACAAAGTCGTCCACTGTTCCAGTTGTAAGGGTATACTTTATCGCATCATAATTCTCGTCGACCACACAAAAAGGTATCTTTGTGTACAAGATTGTCGGAGATATTTCGATAAAACATACCCACTTTTGATCTTTTCATACACCATTGTATTCACGATGGGTTGCAAATGCAGCAAAAAAACTGAAAATACTCCCGATCTGAGCTCATTTGAGGCTACTTTTGGAGCCGATCCAGAACTTCAATCTCTAAGATTGAAGCTCGAGCAACGCACCACCGGAGTTGTCACCACTCTCGCTACCGGCGGTAAGTTTCAATATCTTTCCTTAGACTCTCTCCGAGAAGTCCCCCGTTGTCTCCTCGAAAATGACGAAGAAGTGGTGAACGCAGTTTTAGAGCACCAGAAAGAAATTTGGGATAACCCAGAACTGTCGGATCTAGTGAAGGACTATTTCAAGACTAATCGTAAGACTATAGACTTGTGTAATTCNTTTGGGATAACCCAGAACTGTCGGATCTAGTGAAGGACTATTTCAAGACCAATCGTAAGACTATAGACTTGTGTAATTNAAATTTAAAGTATAACTGACATGACAGTTAATTTGGACTTTTTTGATTAGTGTGATATCATTTGGACCCTAATAAAAACTTTAAATAATCAATTCCTATATCATTTAAATTTTAAATTTAATTTTAAAATTTAGTCGGTCTAACATTATTCGTACTATATNTGTCATTTGGACCCTAATAAAAACTTTAAATAATCAATTCCTATATCATTAAATTTTAAATTTAATTTTAAAATTTAGTCGGTCTAACATTATTCGTACTATATCCTACGGTAACACTTCCCTTTGTTCCGAACTATCTTAGCAACCGCGCTAATATATTTATGAGAAACAAGCATTCTACGTGCCGCGCCTTCTTTTTTCTATTCCTTTATTTCCATTTTCTTTCCTCAAACAACCGTATATTTATTTTTATCTTTGGTTTCATAGTTCATAGATTGTGAAAATATCATCTCATCATAATTCTCGTCGACCACACAAAAAGGTACCTTTGTGTACAAGATTGTCGGAGATATTTCGATAAAACATACCCACTTTTGATCTTTTCATACACCATTGTATTCACGATGGGTTGCAAATTCAGCAAAAAAATTGAAAATACTCCCGATCTGNTTCAGCAAAAAAATTGAAAATACTCCCGATCTGAGCTCATTTGAGGCTACTTTTGGAGCCGCTCCAGAACTTCAATCTCTAAGATTGAAGCTCAAGCAACGCGCCATTGGAGTTGTCACCACTCTCGATACTAGCGGCCAGGTTCGATCTCTTTCCTTAGACTCTCTCCGAGAAGTCCTCTGTTGTCTCCTCGAAAATGACAAAGAAGTGCTGAACGCAGTTTTAGAGCACCAGAAAGAAATTTGGGATAACCCAGAACTGTTGGATCTAGTCAAGGACTATTTCGAGACCAATCGTAAGAGTATAGCCTGGTGTGATTCTCTTGAAAAATGCCTCAAACGAGCTCGTGGCAGGCACGTCATTATTCAATTCGCATTAGCACAATTTGATGAAGAGCACACAGAAAGATCTCATGGCGGAAAGACCTCGTATTCAAAGACTTTACAAGAATTCAAGAATTTCAAGATGGCCGGTGACTCATTTGGTGATGAGGTCTTCTCTTCGTTTTGATCAGTTTACAAACAACAAAAGAATTTGCTAAAAAGGTTGCAAGTCCAAAAAAGTAAACTCGATAAAAAATTGAAGCAAGTGAATGCATGGAGGAAGGTGTCAAATGTGCTATTTGGGGTCACTTTTGCTGCGGTGGCCATTTTCTCAGCGGTGGTGATGGCCATGGCGGCGCCACCAGCGGTGATAGCGTCGGCCAGCGTGGTATCGGGGCCATTAGGGTCAGCGGGTAAATTATTGGATTCGTTTTTTGAAAATTTGGTGAATATAATCAAACAACAAAGTGGAATAACTGGTTCTATGCATTTTAAGACCAACTGGTATGCGACTAAGGAGTTGGAAAGCTTGTGGATAAGTTGGATCAGAAGATGAAGTCGCCGTCGGCTGCGAATGATCTTGGTTTGGAAAAAGAGGAGGCTGTGATGGAGGTGGTGAATGAGTTGAGGAACAAGATAGATGTGATTATGCCAGAGCTTGATGCTTTGATGGAGCGCGCTGCTAACTATAGACAAGAAATTAGAAAAGATATGGAGACTATCTACGATAAAATTTGCCAGAATCCTAAGAGTAGCAGCTGTTGTAGCAATTTAAACTGCTTTACTTAGTGGTCTTGCTCTAAATCACTTTTAGTAGCAGCTGATGTCTCTAAAGAAGTGGTTTGTCTCATTTTAACCTTTAATATTTTTATTGTATAGTTTTGATATTTTTATGTGGTTTAGCGTTCAGATCGTTAATAATTTTTTTATTATAAATTTGTCACATAATACTTAAATATAAACAAAAAATCAATTTAGATAACTTTTGAAATATTGAGGGCAAACCTCATTTTTAGGGCATCTCCAACCGTTTTACTCAAATTTAAATTTAAATCAAAAAATCAAAAAAAAACTTGTTTCATGACTCAAACTTATAACAAATTAAAAAAAAAACTTTTTTTAGACCCAAAATTAGAGAGACCCAAATTCTATATCAAAATCCAACGACTACTTTTTCTCTTCCCTTCAATGCCTCTGCCACCACAATGCCTTTGTGAGCCCGGAACGACAGCATCGACTGCCCATCGTTCTTCTTCCTTTCAAAAAAAAAAATTGGTATAAATCCAAACCCTACCCATCGTTGCAACTGGTAGAATCCCCTTCAATTTTTTCTGTTTTGTTTTTGCTACTTTGGTTGTATTTTTGTGCAATTGGTAGAATCCTCTTCATTGATTTTCAGCAATTTAGGATTTTTTTTCTGCCATTACTGATGAGCTTTAGGGACATGAAATTTTTTTAAAAGATTTGAGTAATATTTAAGTTTCTCTATTTAAGTAATCTTTACCAAATTAAGTTTTTTTTACTCAAATTTGAGTAAATATTTAAGTCTTCATTGGAGATGCTCTTATGATGTATTTGATATGGTGAATGAAAATATTAGGACTTACACCACTTGAACCAATCAACTTGAAGTTATTAGGAGTTAAAATTTAAATTCAATTGTTATATGCATTGATTAAGAAGTCTTTTATGCCATTCTTTTTTAAATATTGAGTTGTTATATGTGTAAATTCGGCTTAGTTTTACTTTGTTTTATGATTAGAAATTATCTGTGCCTAAAGACACTATNTGCGTAAATTCGGCTTAGTTTTACTTTGTTTTATGATTAGAAATTATCTGTGCCTAAAGACACTATGCAACACTAAAAATATCGCAAAAGTCCAAATCGAATCAAACTAAAAAGTAATATAATATTTAGCGAGAAATGCAATGGGAGAATTATACAACTTTAAACCAATCACCTAATGCATCAGAACCTATCAAAACAACTCTCACCAATTTTTCAGTTTCACTAACAAAACATAAAATAGTAGTCATGTTGCCACTAATTAGTAATTAAATTAGCAAAAATAATTAGTCAAATTATCATATACACCATAACCGAAATAGATTCAATTATAATAGAAAATAAGTAAGCAAGGAAAGGAGTGTTTACGATTATCAAAAATTTAGAGCCCAATTCAGATCAATCCAAATATCGTCACTCTAAAGTTTAACTTGTCAAAAATATATATTAAGTCAAATTTCAATGACTCTTTAAGAAACTAAAAAAAATATTATAAATCCACAAATATAAAAACCTATACTGTTAAAAAACACACAGACATAAACACCGATACGAACACACACAAAAATATTGTCACCCTAAAATCACACAGATATGAACATTGACACATGAACACACACAGACACCAAAAGAAAAAACCCAAAACACACAATGGCACACACAGACTACTAACATAAACACACACAGGCGCGCACACACAATCACACACACACACACACACACATCAATATAAAGTCACTCTAAAATCAGACATGAACACGCACACAATCACTCCAAAATTAGACATAAACACACACACACACATGAACATGCACACATATGAAACAGGCACGCACGCACATGCACAGTTATAGAGAGAGAGAGAGAGATAAGGGAAGAACACAAACACACACATACATGAACAGACACATACGAACACCCACACCCACACAGACACACACACACATGAAATAGGCACACACATAGAAGCACAATTAGCGAGAGAGAGAGAGAGAAGATCAGAAATGAACACACACAGTGACTCTAAAATCAGAAATGGACACGCACACACATGAACATGCACACAAGCACAGGCACACAGTGACTCTAAAATCAGACATGAATACACTCGCACACATGAACACACACAGGCACACACATTGAATAGGAACACGCACACAGGCACACACACAGTGAGTCTAAAATTAGACATGACCACAGGCACACACAAGTACACACATGAAACAGGCACACACACATGCACAATTAGATAAAGAGAAAGAGAAGTTTTAGAGGAAGATACATACTTGGATTCCTTCTTGTGCTTCGGTGTGTGTTGCAGGCGTAAGGTAGAGACAAAGTGGAAGGGAGAGAGGTAGAGTTGTTGGAGAGATAAGGGAAGATAACTTGTTTTAAAAAATGAGAGAAAGAATTAGAGGAGAGAGGAGTATCGGGTAACAGATAAGTTATTTTTAAAAATGGGTGGGGAGAGAGTTAGGATGAGACAGTGTGAGAGTTATATAAAAAGATAGAAAGATAAAAATAGATGAGAAATATGAATTTTTGTATCGGTCAATATGAGATAAGGAGAAATACTTAGATAAGATATAGGAGTATTAAAAATATTTGGTATGAGAACCGTTTGATTAATAATGGTTTGAGCCGCAAAAAATTAATTACTTTATTATATAAATATTTATGATCAATACTTATGACTGTAAATCATTTTTGGGTGTGGTGTGGGAATGTTTTATTTGACATTATATAGCAACATCCATTTACACGAGTCATTTCAGTACAAGAAAATTTCAAAAAATCGGCATTTCAATGGTCCAAAAAACGCTGGCAAGGCTCAACTCCGACATTCCTTCAACACCTCGCTTGTACCGGCGTCTAGAAATCTCTTGGCGTAAAAAAAACGCTAAAAATATATACTGACGATTTTTTTTTTGATGGCTTCATTGGCCGGACTCTGGTGACGGAACCTCGGCTTCAACATTCAACTATTAGCTTTTTTATTATTGAAATTTTTTTATTTGTAGTGCTGAAGTTGATTGGAAGATGATTCAAATTGAAATTGTTCAAAACAAGTTTTCCTAATGGGCGTATTACCATATAAGTTCATAAAGGGAGACCAATCTCCAAATTTTTCTAAATTCAAAAAAGAGTCAAAAAGGAAAAATATACCCATGATGGACCCTGATGATGAATAAAATAGACTTATGTAAGATCAACAGTCGAGTAAATGATATAAAGAATTAATGAGACATTTAATAAAGCAATAAATGATAAAAAAGTAAATATTATATTAACATGCAAATATAGAATGGTTCGGTCCGGATAACTTACTTCACTTCGAAAAATAGCAACGGTGGCCGATGGATCTTTTATTGATTAAGTAAGGTGAACGAGAGAGAGAGAGAGCGCAATGATTAGTTCCGAGAGGAATACAATAAGTAGGAGAGAGAAAAATTATGTGTGGGATATATAGAGTGATGTCCCTCCCATGTGGAAAAAGCTTACAATTTCTAAGCACGGAGTTTTTTGGTGAGGTAGTGACGCGACGGGTAGGATACTAACTTATAGGGATAGGTATAATTAGAGATAATCTGGATTTTGGAGAGTGATTATTTTAATAATTACTCCTTACGTACGCTAATCTTCCTTGAATCCCTTGAATATTGGACTAAATCAAATTCATGAATTGGACTTGATCCGTCTTACAGCAGATTTGGACCTATTTCATTAATTAGGCCTAGCCTAGTTAAATATGGACTTGTCAGATCCAATGGGTCACAGGCTATGATATAATGAAAAATACTATTTATATTTAATTTGAGAACTTAATCTAGGTATTTGAGAAAAAACTCAAAATCGTAATGGGTGATGAGTGGACCGTTAATCTATTCATACTACTTATAAATATTAATATTTGTGAAAAAAATTAATTTTTTAATTTATCCATAATTATTATTATAAAGTCAATTCTACCCACGTATTTATTTTCTATCTCTATTTGACTTCTAAATTTTTTAAAATTCTTTTATAAGTAGTATTTGACTTCCAAATTCTTTTAGACTTAGTTATTAGTAGTTTACTTATATACAGTCATTTATATTCTATTTTTATATAAGGTAGTTGATAGATTAACTTTTATGTTCAAATATATTTCATATTTAATTTTTTTTATATGCAAAACATCATAATAATGGTTTACAATTTAATTCATCTCTTTGACAAAAAAATATAATAAATATTTAAAATATTTAGATTTCCAATAAATGACAATCTTACGATAGAACTCCACCAACAAACACAAAAGGAAATGTATAAAGTAGTTTGGGAGATACCTAAACAAATAAAAGATTATAATTTTTTATTAAAAATATTATTTAAATACATTTTTTAAATACATTTGCGTATAACGTATGTCGTATATTCTTAATAAGAAAAAAAGACAAAAAAAAGTAATATAACAAATTCAAAAAAAAAAAAAAGAAAGTGAAAATATACCCGTGAAGATAGATCAGATGGGCCACACGTAATAATATAATGGACAAGCACTGATGTTATATCTTCTCGGATGGGTCAACCCGAAAATTTGACTACAGACAAACAGATGTCGTTTGACCCGTAAGTGGGACTGATTCAATGCGTTATTACATATATACTAATACTTTGTGACCATTGATTACTCTAATGGTAGCAGGTGCTTAGAAGGTCACTCTGTCACTAAACCAAAATGCAACCATTCAACAACACAAGTCCAAACTCTCTCAGTGGAGGGGGCCACACGAGATAGTGATTGACATCACACACTCATTCACCTAGGTCGAAGATAAATCGAATCTGGATTTGAATCTAAAGAGACTCTAAATTCAATTAATCAAGTGATATTGGTGTCTATTATCGATGATTTGAGTTTTTTATTTAAAAATGTTATATTGCATTTTATATGTTTTTATTTACATTTGTTATATAACAATTCAAATATTTATATAAGTTTAAAAATAAATGAGAATAT